TTTTTTTTTTTTTTTTTTTTTTCTAAAAATAAATACTGGTAAAATACTCCCCCTGATGAAAAAACTTAGTTCCACTTCTAGAAAAAAAATAAGGAGTTTTGGCTGGAGGTTATTTTAGTAAAAACCTCTTTTCATTAGGACCCCCTGGGCAATGAAATGCAAGTTTTACTCAAGGAGAGAATATTTCCTTAAATCCATTATCTCACCTCCATTGCCTCAGGCCACCACTATTGCCCCAAAACATGTGTAGGGTCCTTCTTTTTATAGAGCCTATTCACAATCCCTACAATTTATTTACTCTCACCATTTCATAGATGGAAAGACTGAAGCTAAGGAAAAATTGGAAGTTGAGTGAGGACTTCACAGGGCCCCTTATCTCCTGACTCTTGATCATTTCCCTAAAATTTACATCAGGCTACCTTTCCCAGGTCCATCAGCAGGAGAGCTAATTTAGCATCTTAGAGTTAGTGAAGGGACTTGCTAATGGAGTCAGGGAATGCTTGGGGTTCACAGCTGAGGATTATTCCTACCCACTTGACCCCAAAAATCTGAAGCTTAGAAGTTAGGACTTGTAGTGCATGCACTAAGTAGAATCCATGGATCTTCTGGCAAAGCAAAAGTGAGCACTTGGGAGCAGAGAACGAGGCCCCACCACCTGTCCAGTGTGATGCAGGGTCAGCCTAGGATCTCAAATCCCCTGGTACATAACCGGGTTTTTACTGTCAGAGGAACCCTGTCCCATGACATGTAGCAGGGTTCCAGTTGCCAGCACCAAGATGAAGGACCCTGGCTTGCCACCGCAGGCTGTGCTATGGGAAGGGGTATGGGGCAAGGAAACTCCAAAGACTGATGTGACAGGATCACATCCCAAGATGTACAGCCCTTGTTCTGAACAAGGGCTGGGGTCAATGGAGACTTGGGACCAGTTAGTTAAATGAAGAAGAGAGTGCCAGCTCTCAGAAAGTGAGACCAGGCACCAGAGTCAGAAACACGGCCCGTCTCTGAGCTTGCAGGCCAGGCATCGAGACCTCTGGGTTGGGTTTCCAGGTGGTCTTCCCAAGAGCCAAGCAGGCAGGGTGGGACAGGGGCAGGGCTTGGGCAGGCTGGGGCCCCTGAGGCCTGAAT